GAACTTGCTTTGTAAATCTCAGAGACAAACATTACTTCAAGAACACAACACTCACACCAAAGAACCTTCAGCGAATGTCGAAGACTGAAACTGAAGATTAGAGACTGGCGAGTACGTGATCTGAAGCGGYATTCAGTGATTACGAACCTTTCTACATATGTGTGAAGACTGCTCTAGCTTCAGCGAATGATGATGAGACCTTCAGGTCATTCCAGCATTTAGCGATCAGAGGAAGCTTGCTTAGCACGATTGTTGTTGTCTTGTCCTTTTGCACACAAAGGACAAACCCATACCCTTACTAAAGTTAGTACGGTACGGAGCCGATTAGTCGACTCTTTGTCCATCAACTTTAGGCAAGGATGTCTGCTCAAGAATAGTGTTTTTGTACTATTCACTGTAGCAAAGGACAAGCCTTCCTCTTAAGGCTTGACATGCACTCTATACCCTACCTTATTGCATTAAATGTTCATTTAATGCACTGGGTATAAATAGAAGTGTTTTCTTCTCCATGCATGAGAGAATGAACGCACGCATCTCTCTGCTAACCTATTCTTACTTCAAACATCTCCTTGCTTAAGTAAAAGATCTTTATTTTCTAGCATTATCTTTTCTTGTATTTGTTAAAGATCTGTGTGTAACCAAAGGTTGTTTAGATAGATTTTCTTTACCTTATCTTTCCGCAAACAATCTTGTAAAATCTGTACTGATCTTCTCTATCAATATATATTTTAAATTTGAAAACTCTGTGTTTGTATTCATCCCCCCCTTCTACAAATTGTGTCTTATCTTGTAGACCCTTTCGGGACCAACAATAACTAACAGAATTTAATTAAGAAAATTACATCAAAACACAAAAACTTTTAAAAAGATTAATTTAATGTTGATATCGATATTTTTTTTCAATATTTTATGATATTCTTAAATTTATATTTTATTCAAAAATAAAAATATTACCGCTTTATCAAAACCACATAAAACCAATGTTTACTTAAAATTCAAGATTACAAGTAAATTATGCAAAAGTACAACTTATCAAAGCTCGAGTTTTGAATTCGTATAACTAATTGCGGATAAATATAATCAAATAGAGGATAAACATCTTATTTTAAAATATAAAAAAT